GGCCCCCACGGGGGCTGCTCCCCGAGGGACTCCCGCTTACCGAGCTGCTCCGACAGGCGCTGCAGGTACTGCCGGCTGTCCTCGCTGAAGGCCTGCAGCAGCTTCACCCCTTGCTGTAGTTCGTCGAGCTGCAAAACGAGCGCCGCGTGAAAAACAAAACAAAACAAAAAAGCTGAAAAATGGTGAAATCGGCGCCGGGGCAGAACGGTTTTCGCCTCCGACAGCCGAGACCGCCTCACCACGAGCTCCACGCAGCTCAGGACCTCCGCCTGCTCATCCAGGATCTCCTGGTAGTTGGGTTTGCTGCTGAGGACGGCGGCCTGAGAGGTCCGGAGGTAACCGCGCGGCTCTGCCCGGCCTCCGTTCCGCTTGCACTCCGCCAGCTGCCTGCGAAATAAAGTCATTTATCCCTCGGGCAGCGCTGGCGCCGTCATCCGAGGCAGGTTCTGACGTTCCGTTCTCTTTTCAAGTACCCAACAGCTGTAAGATGGGGGGGAACGATCCACACCTGGACATTTCTTCGGCGCTCTCCTGGTAGCGCAGCAAGAGCTGATCCCAGGACTGACATTCGGCGGCGAACCTGCGGGGCGAGAGGCGAGAAGGGGTCGGCGCCCCGCAGCACCCCTCTGCAAAGTGCGGGCTCGGAGAAAAAACAGCTATTAAATAAGATAAATACCCCCAAAACACCCGCTGGGGAGAGGCGTCCGAAGCCGTATCGGCGCCGAGAGGTTCAGATCGGTCGCGCGGTCGCGCTTACCTGGCGATGTACTCCTTAACTTGGGCCACTGACTCGTCCAAAGCCGAGTCCAGTAAAATCCTAAAGCAGAGAGAGCACATCAGCACGACGTACGGAGGTCTATACGTTCCATACGTCCATCAGAGGGCTCTGGTGCTCGTATGCAACCCCAGCTGTAAATGATCCCCCAGATATACGGTCCTCGTTATCCAGCGGCCGGGGGAGCTGGGGGGGCTCCGCCTGGAGAGGGGGAGGCTGAGGGCAGCCCTGGGCGCTCTCCACGGCTGCCTGAAGGGAGGCTGAGGCCGGGGGGGTCGGGCTCTTTGCCAACGAAGAAGCGACAGGAGAAGGAATAGGTCCTGGATGGGACCTGGGCTGAGGTGGGATCTCGGGAAGGATTCCTGCGCCCAAAGGGCTGTCGAGCGCTGGCCCAGGCTGCCCAGGGCAGGGGCCGAGTCCCCGCCCCGGGGGGGATCGCAAAGCCCCGCAGACGCGGCGCTCGGGGCCCTGGTTTGGGGCGGAGGTGGTGGCTTTAGCTTAGCGATGGGACTCGGGGATCCGAAAGGCCTTTTCCAACCCAAACGGTTCCACGATTCTACGTGCACGTAACCGCTCCCCTCTCCAGATCCCGCACGTGTACAAAGGAATAATATCATGGTTTCTTTCCCATTTAAAAGCTTCACCCCCCTAAAATCTGCTGGCGCATCTGCACGTCAGCCTTTCCTCACTGGTTCTGTTATTGTTGCCTGGGTGAGGGAAGCCAGCTAATTAAAAAGCGTTTAAATGAGCCCAAGGCACGGTGGCACGACTGGGTTAGGAAGGTTTATGTGGCAACAGATGCGTTTTGTGTTCGGGCTACCCCCTTCCGCCCCCAAAAGCGGTAACGACTCGCTGCTGACGCTCCACAGGGGACGAGCTCGGCGAGTCCTCACCCTTTAGGGTCTTCGACGCAGCTCTTCAGCGTTCCGTCTCGTTTCAACTTCTGCACGTATCGCTTCAGGTCTTCTGAAACCGAGTGCGCTGGAGATGAAGACAGAATAAAACAATGCTGGTACCCGCTGCCTAGAAAATCGGTAATACTGAGAAAGCAAGCTGCGTCCTAACCTACAGGTACTGCTCTGATTCCTTATCGGAAGGCATTCCGGTTATTAGATGCTGTTTCGGGAAGGATAACTCATCTCTGCGGCCACGGTTTACTTTAGCGTGTCCGTTTGCCTTCCCTCCCAGAAACCTGTGGTCTGCACAGCATCTTAAAAACATCGTTCCTGTATTTTTGGCTGCACCCACCCCTTCCGGAAGGCAGCTAGCTTCATTCCGGGAGGATATTTTAAAGTTCAGGATTACCCTTGCTGGCGCAAATAGCACACCTTACCGTTAGCGTTGAAAGCCTCCGGGCTAAAGCCGTCAGTTTGCTTCAAGACTTGTTCGAGCTTCTGGGCAGAAAACTAAGAGAAGATAGAAAAGAACGTCTTCGCACCCCTTCCCGAGTGGTACGACAAAGCTCGCGGGCAGATTCGTTACCGAAGGAGAAAGGAGTCCCTCCTCCCCTCGCACGTATTTCACAGTTCAGTTACACAAATCGGAACGTACGTTTAGGGGCAGAAAAAAAGGCAAGAGAAAAAAAAAATCACTTTTTAAAAGAGAGTACCTTACCTGGAAACTGGACAACAACAGCATAGAAAGCCGGTCCATCTCCGGCAGATCCAAGCTAATTGATTTGCTTAATTCTGAAAAACCAGAACAAAATTGTTTAAGAACAATTCAATTCACACCAAGCTGCAAACGGCTGGAACGCTCCTGAAAGACACTAAAAGCTGTTGTTGTACAGGAGCGCGGTTTGCAGGATATGGAAGGAGCAGGGAAAAGAGAGAGAAACAGAGTTCCCAACAAGGAAAAGTCACACTTAGGGCTCAACCATGGAAATAAAAAGGCAGAGGCTGCAAACCGCTGGTCTACAGAAGCCGTTAATGCAGCATCTCCTTTTATCATCAAGGACCCAGGCCTCGGAGATCACTGCCAACACGGACGTCAGTGGCTACCAGTTAGGAATAGCGCAATTAGACTGTAATTACCCTAAAGGTCGTGCCGTGAAATTAAATTTCAACTTGCTGCAGGCTGCCCTACGAGTTTTGAAAGAGCTTGATAAAGGGAAGAAGCGGAGCACGCACCAGTGACATCTTGGTGAACAGGAGGCAGAGATTTTCGGCGTTTTGTCCCCTTCAGGCTCGAACGACACCAAGAGCGACGCTTGGCTTGAGGAGTGGTGATGAGGGGTCTCGGGGTCAAGTTAAAAGAACTCGAAGCGTGGTCTTTCCTGGGACTGCTTCTCCAGGGAGACAGCCTCGTGGGACTAGGTCCGAGGGGGCTTTTCCTGAGGCTGGGACTGTCATGGGATCTTTTCCTCGTAGCCGCTCCGGGGGTCTCACAGGGACTAACGTTCTTGCTAACAGCAGTTACGTCGGGTGGCTTTAGGAAGCGCTCAGGATCCGCTTTCTTCTCTCCAGGGTCAGGATCTGAGAAAACCAGACGCGATCAATAGGTTAGCAGGGTCAAGCGAGAGGGAAGGGTCTCTCCCAGGGATTCAAAGGCACCGAACCTGTTCTTGGCGCTTTGCTTTCTAGCTCGGGGCAAAAGCAGCGCTGAGGTGCGATGGCCGGATCAGGGCTTCGCAGCCTCCCAAGACCGCCGGTGCCTCCGGTTCTCCCTTCCAGCACGGAGATGCTCGGTACCGCCCGGCCCTCCCCGCTCCCAGGCCCGCCGCCCCTCTTACCTGACGCCGCGCCTTCACCCGCAGGGCGGGCTCCGCCGGGGGAACGCTGAGGGGGGAAAAACGGTTACGGGGGGCGGCGGCGAGGCGCCCCCCCGGGCCCCCCCAGCCCA